CAATTTGCATTTGTCTCACTAGTTTTCAGAGTTACCAGCCCACCACCTTGTATGGATCTGCTGGTTTGCTTTCCCAGTGGTTTGCTTATACATACCATATTCTTTCAGGCTTACAGTGCAGCTGAGGGCATTTATTTATTTATATAATATATATTTTTATTGATTTCAGAGAGGAAGGGAGCGAGAGAGATATTGAAACATCAATGATGAGAGAGAATCATTGATTTGCCTCCTGCGGGGATCGAGCCTGCAACCCAGGCATGTGCCCTTGACTGGAATTGAACCTGGGACCCTCCAGTCCGCAGGCCAACGCTCTATCCATTGAGCCAAACTGGCTAGGACGAGCTGAGGGCATTTAAAGCACAGTAGGTTGGGCCTCACCTCTGGAGCCCGACTGCCTGAGTTTGAATCCCAGCTTTACCACTTACCATCCTGTGAATCTGAGCAAGTTACTTCATATTTCTGTGTCTCTGTTTCGTCATCTTCAAGATAAACCTATTAGGAGTATCTTACCTTTTGAGGTTATTGGAGAATTAACTGTGCCTACATGTGTGGTAGCCAGCCTCCAAAATGGCTGCCAATGACCCTCCCCTCCTGGTATTCACACGGTTGTGTAATGCCTTCCCACAATGAATGGTGCTAATCTGTGTGATCAGTGGGCTGTTCTGAAAAGGATGGTGTGTGACTTCTGAGGTCATAAAAGACAGTGTGGCTCTTGCCTTTCTCTCTTGGATCACTCACTCTGGGGGAAGCCAGCCCCCACATCATAAGGACACGCATGCCCTCTGTGGAGAGGCTCTACCTATCGAGGGCCTTCAGCACCAAGTTCTAAGCTCCTTTTTCTGCCCCACTGTTGTAGTTATCTATTGTTGAGTAATAATACCTAGCGGCCAAAAAAAAAAAAAAAAAGAAAATCATTATGCTCCTGGATTTTGAGCATCTGGGATTCCTGCAGAACACTCTGGGGATGGTTTGTATCTCTGCTCCACTCTGTCTTGGGTCTCAGTTGGAAAAACTGAAAGTCTGGGGGTGACTTGACAGCTGGGGGCTGTATTATCACTGCTATGTCTGGCGGTAGATGCTGGATTTTGGCTGAACTCTCCCACGTGGACTCTTCATGTAGGCCAGGAATCCTCATAGCATCGTGACTCTGTTCCAGAGCGAGAATCCCAAGAGGCAGAGGGCAGAAGGTGCCAATTTCTTAAGGCTTGCGACCAGAAAGTGACCCAGCATCACTTTTGCCAGTCAAGAAGCCCAGGTTCAAGGGTAGGATACATAAGTCCTACCTCTGTATGGGAGGCATGTGAGAGAACATGGGGGCCATTATTTAAAACTGCTGTAGCAGCCTCCCATGTATGGTGAGGGGCTCAGAAAAACCAGGCCTGCCCTGGAAGGCCACACTCCGGTGAGTTGGCCTTATGTGCTCAGAAAAGAAACACAGACTCTACCAGCCTCCTGTGCTACGTGCTCAGCAAGAGCTTCCATGGGGAGGGCATGTCACCAGGGTTCAGAGAAAGGGCTGGAGTTGTCAGGGTGCTGCCTAGAATCTACCAGGTGCCAGGCACTGGGGAAACAAAAACATAAAGCTTTAAGCAGTGGCTTTATAGGGTAAGGCGTGGTGTAGAGCTGGGACGTGTAGAGAAACACCACCACCTGATGTAACAGGTGCCCCATGAGAGACAATCCCCTGCCTCAGGGGCTCAGAGAAGGTTTCCCAGGAAAAGCGATGTCTGAGCCCAAGGAGAAGGGTATCCCAGGGATAGGAACAAGCCCAGGCAAAGGTAAGGCAACATGAGAACACAGGGTTTGGCCAACAATGAGCGATTCAGAGTGGCCGTGGGGTGGACAGAGCTGAGAGGTAAGGCACCAGGGACATGTTGGGGTCAGGTTCCAAGAAGCATGACAAAGGCAAATCACTACTGGTGAGAAGTAGGCAAGTGACATGAATGGCAGCGGATGTCCGTGATGTGCCAGCACTGCCATTAGGCCTGGGAGAGATCACAAGAGGCGGGTGGGTGGGGTCAGGAGGAAGGTGAGTTTGGGCATGTGGAGTATGAGATGCCTGTGAGGCATCCGAGTGGAGATTCCAGTTTGATGTGTGTTTGGACAGGTCTGCCCTGAGGACCAAATGAGACAGGGGAGCTGGTTGCTGATGGAGAGCCTTGAATGCCAGAGTCAAGGGTCAAGTCTATCTTCTTCTTTTTTTCTTTTTCTAAATGTTTTTATTGATTTTTAGAGAGACAGGAAGGGAGAGGGATAGAGATATAGAAACATCAGTGATGAGAGACAACCATTGATCGGCTGCCTCCTGCACACCCCACACTGGGGACCAAGTCCGCAACCTGGGCATGTGCCCTGACCGGGAATTGAACCGTGACCCCCTGGTTCATAGATTGATGCCCAACCACGAGCCATGTCAGCCAGGCACAAGTCTATAGTCTGTAGGCAAGGAAGAGCTAGGGAAGGTTTTAACTAAGATATTATAATGGTTAATGATTAATGAGGGCTCCTTGCATATTGGGTACAGTTCCAAGTATTTTATATGAACTTATTTGGACCTCACAGTAATCCTATAAGGTGAATACTGCTGCATTTCATGGAATTTAAGAAATCACCAGTCGTAATATATATACCATTATGTGTCTTCAATTTAAGATGGATTCTTCAGAGATGTTAATGTAGACAGGAAAAATAAGGCCATAGAATCAATGAAATACATGATCTGCATTTAAAATATAAAGAAACAGGAACCGAGAAGTTAGATAACTTGCCCAAGGTCCACTAAGAGACCAAGTCAGGATCTGAAGCTCAATTCCAAAGCCCAAGTTCTTTTGTTGTTGTTTTTTAAAAAATAATTCTTTATTGTCGAAAGTATTACATATGTCCCCCTTTTCTCCCATTGACCCCCTCCAGCCCACTCCCACTGCCCACCCCGGGCCCTCAGGGCCCCGTTGTCTGTGACCATGGGCCATGTGTATATGCATACAGGGTTCTTGGTTGATTACTTCCCATCCACCCACCCTCCCCTGCCTTCTCTCCGAGACAAAGCCCAAGTTCTTAACCATCATTTGATATTGGACCGAAGGTTGTGAGCATGTGGAGTTTTAAGACCAGTGTGGCCTTTGTACTGAGGGTACAAAGTATTTGAGGGGAGCGGGCAAAGTCAGATGGCATAGCTTGGAGACAAATCCACAGTGATAGGGGTCTAGAACAGGCCGGGTGCCATGGGGCGGGAGGAGGGGACAGACGGGGTAGAGGTCCTTCATGAATGGGCAGAAGTGGTTGACCCACTGCATGCTGGGTGTGAAAACAAGGACAACTCCGAAATGTTGAGCCTGGGAACAATGGCACAGCACAGGAGGGAATGAGGCAGCTACTGCAGACCAGAGGAGAGCGGTGGTCCCTGGGCAGTTAGGACTGCGGCTTCCCATCCCAGCTGGGGAAGTGACGCTGCCTGGCACCTGGTGGGCACTCACTAAGTATTTGTCAAATGAATGGATGAACGAGTTGTTGCATGATCTTGGGCAAGTTGTATAATCTTGCTGTAAGATCTCTGGGTCTCATTCTTTGTGGGTGTAAAATGACGGGATTGGACAAGAACATGTAAAACAACATGGGTGGTACTCTCCTGGAAGGGGTATGCATTCTTCTCCCCATCCCAGGACCTTCTTGGGTACCCCCAGAACAGTGCTCCCAACCCTGGCTGTAAGTTAGATGAACCCAGGCCCCATAAGAGACCACTGAATTCAGAATCTCTGGAGATGAGGCCCAGGCATGGGTAGTTTCTAAAGCTTCTCAGGTGACTCTGATGTGCAGCTGGTTGAGAACCTTGACCCTGGAGCCTCCAAGTATCCGATTTGAAAACCACTGAGGTCGGTGAGGGCTGGGACCCCTTCCAGGCCTAGGCCCTGTGCTTGGTGACAGGCCTCTTTTTTCTTTTCTTTCTTTTTTTCCCCCCAAATGTTTTTATTGATTTCAGAGAGGGAGAGAGAGAGAGATAGAAACATCAATGATGAGAGAGAATCATTGCTTGGCTACCTCCTGCATGTCCCCTACTGCAACCTTAGCATGTGCCCTTGACTGGAATCGAACCTGAGACCCTTCAGTCCGCAGGCCGACGCTCTACCCACAGAGCCAAACTGGCAAGGGCTAGCCCTCTCTTTTCATGTCCCACCTCCCATCTCCCAACCCAAAACTCCTGACAGTCAAGGGACCAAACACCAGGGTTTCTCAACCACATGCTATGGACATTTGGGCTGGATAATTCCTAGTTGTGGAGGACTCTCCTGGGCATGTCAGGATGTTGAGCAGCATCGCTGGTCTCTACCCACTGGGTGCCAGTAGCATATCCCCCCAATCAAAGCAATCAAACATGTCTCCAAATGCCTCATGGGGTGCAAAATCGCCCCAGTGGAGAACCACTGTGCTCCCCTGAGTTTCCTGCCCTTCACCCCGTGGCAGACAGACAGACAGAGACCAGGCAGGGGCGGAGGCCATTTCACAGCACGTTTAGTTGGGCCGGGCAGGAGGGAGGCCGCAGTGGGAGGCCCAGGCTTCACAATGCTAAATGGGGGGAGAGCATGCCAGCAGACTGACTGATGTGGTCTTGCTCCAGAGGGAGGACGTTTTCCAGAACACTCATTCCCGGATTCCCAGTCAGTCACAGGAGGGCCAGGAGTCGCTTCTGGGGCAAACAGCCCCCGCGTTACGGGAACAGGCAGGCCGGGGTGTGGGCGTGGGAGTGCGTGTGGAGGGGATTCTTTCCTTCTGTAGATATTTTCCTGGCATTGGTGACGGCCCTATCTGATTGGTTGAGGGCTGCAGGGGAGGAACTTTCCAACCGTGGGTGCCTGGGCCCCTGGAGGCCTCCGACAGTAGGATCATGGGGACATCTGGGTTTCAGAATCTGGAAGACTGAACCTTTGGGGCTGGAACTAAGGGGCTGGCTGCCTCACACCTCCCCCGACCCCCAAGCTAAGTGGAAGGTATGGGCACACTCTCTTTACAACTGGAGGCTAGGATCTGTCAGCGTCTTCGTAAGTCGCTTTTTGCTTCAAGGAAGTGGAACCTGAGGGAAAATGGAGGTGGGAGGTCTGGGAAGGGAAGAGAAGGCAGGGGATGGGAGGGAAAGGGAAGGGGAGAGGAGAGAGAGGGAGAGAGGAGAGAGGAGGGGAGGGGAAGGGAGAAGAGGGAAAGGGGAGGGGAGGAAAGGGAAGGGAATGGGAGGGGAGGGGAGAGGAGGGGAAGGGAGGGGAGAGGAGGAAAAGGGGGGGGGAGGGGAGAAGAGGAAAAGGGGGGGGGAGGGGAGAAGAGGAAAAGGGGGGGGGAGGGGAGAAGAGGAAAAGGGGGGGGGAGGGGAGAAGAGGAAAAGGGGGGGGGAGGGGATGGGAGGGGAGGGGAGAGGAAGAAAAGGGGAGGAGAGGAAAGGGAAGGGGGTGGGAGGAGAGGGGAGAGGAGGAAAAGGGGAGGGGAGGGTGGTGGAAAGTACTGGGCGGGTCGGAGGCAGTGAGGCTGTTTCCTGCCCTCCCCCTCCCCCCACTCACTCCACCACAAGGCTTAGGACGCCCAGGAGCAGGATAGTTCCAAAGACACAGAGGAGCAGAATCCTGGCTTCCCGAAGATCGTGACTTCCTGCGGGAACCCAGGAAACAGTGAAAGATGCTGGAGACCACACCCCTGGACACTGGGGGAGCCCGAGAGCTCAGAGGTCTGGGTGAGGTGAGGCAGGCAGGGGTGGGGAATGAGGACCTGGGAAGCAGCGCTTCTGGGGCCAGCAGAGCACCTCAAAGCCCTCGCAGGTGGAGCAGTTGTACAGGATGGTGCTGCCCCCTGCAGGAGACAGCGGGACAGAGCTGGGGAGGGGAAGCCCCGACTCCACCCTTGGACTATCTCACTTGCTCCCGCCCACTGCAGGCTCTCCTGGGAGCCCGGCCCCTGGTCCTCACTGCCTCTCCTTCCTACTCACAACAGGCGGGACTGCAGAGAGCTGAAACGAAAGACAAGGAGGGGTGGGCACCGATGAGCCGTTCAGCCACACACCCCTTTGCCCCGGACCCCAGGCCTCCTGGGTCCCTCCTCCCATCAGTACCTTCCCGGTTGTACTCAGGAAACTTGGTCTTCTGAAGCCATTGCCAATACAGAGGGAGCGAGGAGAAAGACCTTTTGATCTCTGGGGAGGCAGAGAGCGGCCATTCTGCCCGGGGCCTCACAGTACCTGCGGACCTCCACCCTTTTACCCAGCACGTCCCCAATCACTCCCTTCTGTCTCCACCTGCCCTCCACCCTTCCCTGCCTGCCAGCCCCCTCCTCCCAGCCCCCTCCTCGGTGTCCATCCAAGCCCCTAGGTTGTGCCTTCCCCAGTGACCTCACCCATGACCCTCAGGACCCTGTGAGTCTTCTCCGTGACCTTGTTCATGGACACCTCATCTGTGGGGATGGGCAAGGACCACGGTTTCCTCATTAGCCCAGAGAAGGTTCTTCCTTGACTTGGCCACGGTCCAAAGAAGCCCTCCCAGAGGGAGAGGCCAGTGAGTCCAGGGACTCAGCTGAGGGGCACGGCTGGGGCCACCGGCTGCCCTGCGTGGGGCCTGGGGGTGACTACAGCTGAGCCGTCCCTGCAGGTCTGGGCTCACCTAAGGCAAAGGTGGAGAAGTTCCAGGAGGCCTCACAGTCCTTCCACTGGGCCTCTATCTGGCTGCAGAGCCGAGCCAGGCGGCCCGACAAGCCATGCGCTGGGAGGCGGCAGAAGAGACAGGCCTGGGCAGCCTCCAGGAAAGCCACGCTGAGCGCCAGCACCCACATGTGGCCCGGTGGGGGCGCCGGGCCACCTGGGATAGGAAGGCTCTGTGATCCTGGTTCTGGCCCTTTGCCTGAAAGGTGCAGAGTTCCAGAACAGTTGGAGGTTCTAGAGCATTCCAGAACAGTGCCACTGCTCCTTCCCTGGCCTGGGTGAACCTGGGCCCGAGGGACTGGGGACCAGAAGACGACATTGATGTGCTGATGGGGGAGGGGCAGAGAAAGCAGGACTTCGGTTGCGAGGGAGACAGCACTTGACAAGTTTGTGGTTCCAAAAGCAACTTTATTTTCCTTCTTGTGATAAATAATAAGCGACTCCCCAGAGAAGCTGTTCATGAATCCCCTCAGAGATGCAAAAATCCCACCCCTTCCCATGTCCTCGCCGACTCTCCCAAACTCCTCTCTTCAGCTCCTCTCTGCAACGAGCAGCCTTGAGTCTTTCCCCAGCTATCTCCTAGCAACAGGCCCACGGTTGCCTTAACAACCAAGAATTCCATAAAGGTCTCCAAGGGCCCGCTAAGCCCAGTGACTTCTCTTACCCCTCTCACCAGGAAGATCCCAGTGACTTAAATCCCAAAAGGCCCCTCCTGCATCCGTGGTGATGTGAATGCACGTGTATGCATATACATACACACCCCTTGTGGTTAAACTATTAATTTTCAGTCTACTCACACCCACAGACACACCTGGTGCCCAAACAGCTTCTGAGCAACCTCAAACAGGCCTGGACATGCAGAGACCACAGAAAGACCAGCACACAGACACCACTGCCCGCAACACAGATGGAAGCCCGGATGTCAGGGACTCACACATCAGTCAGACACACACAAACACGCACGTACACATGAAGGAAGGTAGGCCAAGGCCCAAAAAGATGCTGCCCTCCTCCCCATGGCCAGCTCCACCATCAATACCAGATCCTTTAAAAAACGTGGGTCTCAGAGGGATGCTCCACCCCATAGTGAATAGGGATTCTCCTAGCTCCCTTCTGCAGCCTAGGGTGGGGTGTAGCTGTTCTGTCTCCCTCAGTAGGTGACTTGGGACACAGCAAAGAATCTCCCTCCCTATGTTCCTTCTTATGTCACCGGTCAGGCCAGGCCAGGCCACTCAGCTCCAGGAGAAGTCACAGTCCAGGAGACCACATTAGAGCAATCCAAAGCCCCTCCTCCTTCCAGGCCTGTGTCCCTGCATTGTTCTGCTCGGCCTAGCCTGGGAAGAGAAGTGTCCCCACTTTCCCAGACCCCTGAATACTGAGCTCCAACCAAGGAAACTGGAGGTCCCCAGGCTCAGGCGAGAATGAGCCAGGGCAACCTTCCGGCCCTCCCAGGATCAGCACCCGTCCAGCCCCTGGGTACCGCTTGTGAGCCCTCAGTGGGCTTGGGTTGGGGAGTCCTGCCCACATTTGGGCTCCGGTCAGGTGCAGTGGGACCTCTGACTCACAGCCCCAAAGCAGAGCTAGGAAGGGGCTTCAGGGGAGCCTTCATCCCCTTTGCTGTCCCCTTCTTCCTCCCCCCACCCCCCTACAGTCAAACCAAAGGCAGTATTCCCAGCTTAGTTCTTAGTGTCGAACAAAGCGCAGAGACCTGGAGTTGAGTAGGTCTTCAGGGTCAGGGAACACGGAGTCTAGACGGAAGCCATGCTCCAGAGCCACCCGGAGCACCTCCTCCAGGAAGCCCGGTGTGCCCACCACTTCGCGTCGCTCTCCCGGCCCCCCAGTCCACAGTGGCTGCAGCCCCAGTTTCCTGTACTCCACTTCCGGGAGTTCCGTGGGGCGGGGGGCCCACTCCAGACGAAAGTGTGGTCCCCCCTCTGCTCTCTCCTCATTGGCCACACCAAATCGGGCCCTCAAGGCACCCAGACACTCTTGGTCGGTGCAGAAGAGGTTGGCTCGGAAGGTGTCCACCTGGGCAGAGCTCAGCTCGTAGTGGTGGGGGCCCTGGCGCGCAGAGAAGTGCACCACGCGGGGGCTGGCATCCACATCTGCGTGGAGCAGGGCAGCTGTGGGTGCAGGGGTCCCCTGAGAGGCCTCCAGTTCCCGCAGGGCATCTAGGAGGGGCTGGATTTGGTAGAAGTCGGCCTCTGCCCTGAGAAGCGCTGTCTCCCCATATCCCAGGGGCAGGTCCAGGCGGCCCAGCCGCAGGAAATTGAGAATGTGCCGGAAGGCCTTGCCATCCCGGTCGATGAAATAGTAGTGGCCACCTCCCTGGGAGTTGAGGTTGGGGGGAATAGGGGTGTCAGCCCTAAACATGGCCCCCAGCATGGAGTCTGGGAAGCGAGTCAGGGTCTCCAAAGTGGTGGAATATAACGTGCCCCCCACATTCAGGGTCACGGGGCCCCCAAAGGAGGGGGGTGAAGAGGGCACAGGAGGAGGGGAAATTTTGGGGAGTGCTGGAGACACCCAAAGAGAAAAAGGCAGAACTGCCTGGGTGTGCGCAGAATGGGGTCGGAAGGTTCAGACTCAGGTGGAGGCACTGGTCGGAGTCGAAGGCAGCAAGATTCGGGGCTCCCCCAGCTACCGTGTGGTAGGGGATGGCTCCTGGGCACAGAGCGCCCGGGGGCTTGGAGGACTGATGCGGAGCGCGCAGCGAAGTCCAAGAGGATGGCAAGTTCCGTCCAGACGCGTCCACCTCCGGGCGGCCAGGGGTCCGTTCTGCGGTCTGTAGACTGGGCTTCCGAACCCAACCGGCAGGTGACGGTCGAGCGCCA